GAAAATGACCAATTTATTATTGTTTTTGGTTTTTTGGAGGGATTATTATTAGGCGTGTGGAGTAAGGAAACTTGCCCAAGGTTTCGCCCTGACTGGAATTGAACTCAGGTCTCTCACTTGCAAAGCAAGTGCTCTAACAATGAGCTACAGGACTCCACATTACATTACAATGGTAAACAGACTCCCACGACATTGCAGAATGTTTTGCAATTTGTTTATGTCCTGTGTTAATGGTTGAACATAAATAGGCACCAATATCTACAAATCTAACTAACCTCTGGTAGAGTATTTTGTGCTACTTTTCTCCTTGATATGCTTACTATGAGGAATGATCTGAACTGACATCAGCAATGGACAATGAGGTAACATTTGTGACATTCCTTAATCCGTTCCTTGTGCCAATTAAGGCAAAAGTTTGCTCCTATGTCTCATGTTCGTTTAACCTATGTTAACCATACAGAACATATCATTGTATAAGAAGTACAACATACATTTTGCTGCACTCAATTTCATGCTTAAGAATCTGTTGCATTGCTATTCTGAGAGCCTTTGAATATTATTCAGACTGATTGGGAAATTGGTCTCTTTGGTGAACATTTGGTGATTTACTGAACTAGATATGCAATATCCTCTGCATATCAGAATACAGGAATAAAGTTATAATAACTTGACATTTGCCTTCTTATTACACCTACCAAGAGTTCCCTAGGCAAGCGTGCTTGGTTCAAATTAATTTTTCATAAGCTATTAACTCCTATGGCCTGTCCTCTCTGGAACATGTTCCGCAAATTCCTGTTCTTCATTCTCTTCCTCTTGGCTTTCAAAACGCTTCTGAAAACCTATCTCTAACTAAGCGTGAGTTATTTCCCTCCTATTTCCTTTACTTCCCCCCTTGCTCAGGTTTTTACTCTTTCTCTGTAGATAAGTCGAGATGTTATGATACGGAAAAAGTATTATACAATGTAAGTGTATGTTGGTGTTTATTAGTTGTGGGTGGAGTGGGGGATAAACATGGTCACTTTGGGGCTGAGCTGGTTTCAAGATAGAATGCTTGGTAATGCAATGTCAAAATCAAATTGTTGCAGTCTCTTAGAGAGGCGTTAAATTAATGGGGGATGAAATTATTTTCACTTAGCTCTCGTTAACCCTACAAGAGCTACCGGATCGATTGGTCCAAGGTGGATAAGCAGTAGGAAGGTTGCCAAGGAAGAGAGTTCACCGTGGCAAATTATGCAGTTTTAGCTGATGAAATGCCAGGAATACTGCAACACACACTCTAGGGTCTCCAAACCTTTGCTCTTCCCAACTTGCGCCTAATACTGTACTTTCCAGAATTAGGAATGCAGGGTGCATCCCTCCAGGGAGAGAATGCACATTCATTCCAAACACAGGGACATTTCTATGTGTAGGTAGCATACATGTAGAAACTTATAGCACAAAACAAGGTCATCCGGCCTATCTTGTCATGAGTCAAATGGCCCATATGCAGAATTGTTGGGATACTCTTAAGCATAGTGATACGTTTCCACGCATGTCAGACACCCGGCTAACAAAACAACTGTTGTTTATCAACAATTCAATGTATATAAATAAATAATAATCCTCGCATTTGATATAGCGCTTTCACATCTTCTAAACGTCTCAAAGTGCTTCACATTATATACTGTAAAGTGAATTGATTGTATATTTGAGGCCGAAACGCGGAAGCCAATTGTGCGTTTGTGTCCCACAAACAGTCGTGGATTGAGTGATCAAATTATTATTATTTCTTTTTCTTGAGGTATTATTATCTCTGGAAAAGCGATCCACCAATCGACTAACAATTGGGTTCCTGCTTACTGCTAGTTAAACAGAGGCTTGTGGAGTAAGGAAACTTGTCAACATTTTGCCCTGTCGGGAATTGAACCCAGGTCTCTCACTTGCGAGGCGAGTGCTCTAACCACTGAGCTGCATATATGTCATAAACTGAGAGATTAACTCCCCCATTTGAAAAAATAATGATGATTGAATCATTGCAATCTGCCAATACATTAAGTAAGATTGTACACCTGGACAGAAAAATAACATTATAACTTCATCATTGAGAATACTAAGACTTTGTCAAGAATGATGGATCACATCTATAATCCAACTGGACTATTCCATAAAAAAATGAGTTATTTGACTTGATAATCACGTGTTTGACATTGAGCCAAACAAGTGGCAAATATGACTGGAAAATCTGGGGATCTCTGGAAAGCTTCGCCCTAGTTGTCAGCACAATATCATGTTTCACACAATGTATCAAGTTGTAGAGAAAACATATCTCTGAATTAAATTACTTGGATCAATCTATAACATTTTAATAGATTTGAGTGAGGTGTGATTTGTAGATTTTTCTCCTTTTGCCTTTTTCGTAAGAAGATATTGTGAAAATGTTTACACCCTTTTATTTAAAGTTAGCCCAAAAATGTGCACTTTTGCTACACCTGGCCTTTGATTAATATTGACTGCAGTGGAAATATCAGAACAGAAGATTTTGCACTTAAGTATATTTTTAAACGTTCTGTATTCATTAGTATAATTTACACTTATACAATGCCTGTAGCACAGTGGTTAGAGCAATTGCCTCAGAAGTGGGATACCTGGGTTTGATTCCTGGAAGGGCGAAACGTTGGGCAAGTTTCCTTACTCCACACGCCTCTGTTTACCTAACAGTAAGTAGGAACCCAGTTGTTAGTCAATTGGTGGATCCCTTTTCCGGGGGCTATAATTGCTTTTAAAAAAATAATAATTTGGCCACTCAATCCATAACTGTTTGTGTGACAGTGCTGTGTGCAATTGGCTGCCAAGTTTCGCCCACAAAATATACAGTCAATTCACTTTACAGTGTATTCTGAAAAACGCTTTGAGACGTTTGGAATACGTGATAAGGCTCTATATTAAATGCAAGGATTATTATTATTATTAATGATTGGAGGACAACTCAAAGCTCACAATTCTGACTGGACACCGGAGCTAAGGGTAGGAGCTGAGGGGTGTGAGGAGGGTAATACACCAATATAATTTACCATTATCAGTGAAAAATATAGGTTCAATGGACACAACTTGATGGGCTAGTTGACCACTTCTTGTTAAAAAATATACTGATGATACTACAACAATATTAACTTGCATTTATCTAGGACCCTTCACATAGGTAGCGTCACTGAGCATTTCACAGTGGAAATGTTTAATTCCGTCCTGGAAAGAGGGGCAAGTTCCAACGTTATGGATGAAGAAGAAAGTCTTCACTGTTATGTGAAGATAATAATAATCCTTACATTTGATATAGGGCCACGTCTTTTGAGACGTCTCAAAGCGCTTCACAGAATATATTGTAAAGTGAATTGACTGTATATTTTGTAGCCTGGTGTAGCCTGGCAAGAGCTGAGGTGATAGGTGTGCGGAGCCTGCTGTGGGTGAGGACAGAAGTGGCTTCATTTTGATTCATTTAGACCTTGTTAATAGTGGAGCTGGGGAGAGGTTGCAGAAGTAGGTGGGAGCAAGGCCATGGAGAGCTTTGAAGGTGAGGAACAAGATCTTGAACTGTATGTGATGGGAAGCCAGTGTAGTCGGCCGAGGATGGGGTTGATAGGCTCACGGGGCCTGGTGTGAGAGAGGACATAGGCTGCAGAGTTCTGGATGATCTGCAGCCTACGGAGGGAGGAGTTGGGGAGGCCGACAAGCAGTGAGTTTGCATAGTCAAGCCTGGATGGTATGAATGCACGTATGAGGGTTTTGGTGGCCTGTGGTGTGAGACTGTGGCAGAGCTGGGCCATGTTGCGGAGGTGGGGGAAGGCAGAGCAGTTCATGGCATGGATATGGGGTTGAAAGGATAGTTGAGGGTCAAACAAGATGCCAAGCTTCTGGACTGGCTTAGTGAGGTGGAATGTGCATCCTTGGATGCTGATGCTGTCAGCACCTGAGGTGTGGAGGCGCGGACGGGGGCCAATCAGGAGAGCCTCGGTCCTGTTGATGTTCAACTGAAGAAAGTTAGCTCTCATCCAGGACTTGATGTCTGACAGACATTCTGTGGTCTGGAGTCGAGGGTGGAAGCAGAGACATAGAATTGGGTGTCATCCGCATACATATGGAAGTTGACCCCATGTCTGTGCATGATATCACCAAGAGGGAGCATATAGATATTAAAAAGGAGGGGTCCAAGGAAAGAACCCTGAGGAACGCCGCATGATACAGTGTGGAGGCTCTAGGAGAAGCCGTTTGTGGAGATGAAGCGGAGACGGTGTGAGAGGTACGATCTGAACCATTCAAGGACAGAATTATGAAGGTTGAGGTGAGAGGAGAGGCGGTGGATGGGGATAGAGTGGTCAAGGGTATTGAAGACAGCAGAGAGGTCAAAGAGAACGAGGAAGCAGAGGGAGCCCTGGTCGCAGATGGACAGATTGTCATTTGTCATTTTCACCAGGGTAGTTTCTGTGCTGTGGGCGGCACAGAAACCCAATTGGAGTGGTTGGTGAAGGGAGTGGCAGGAGAGAAAGGAGCTGAGCTGGGAAGCAATGACTGGTTCCAGGACTTTGGAAAGAAAGGGAGGTTAGAGTTGGGGCGGTAATTTGAGAGAAGGGATGGGTCCAGGGAGGGTGTTTTTAAGGATAGGAGTGATGACGGATGTTTTTAAAGAGGTGGGAATGGTGCCAGTGGACAGGGAGAGTTTTATGATGTCTGTGAGTGGAGGGGTAAGGAGATGGAGCTGGGAGGTAAGGAGAGGGGTAGGGAAGGGGTCGAGGGAGCAGGTGTTCGGTTTCATGCGGGTTATAGTGATGGTGAAAGAGGAGTGGGAGACAGGTTTGAAGGTGGAGATGACTGGAATGCACTGGAAATATACAAGATACACCCATACTGTGTTTCATACTTAGATTATGTTATGGTGTAATACACGAGCCTAGTCTGACAACATAATTAGCCTTCGGTTTCACTGGTTTTAATGCAACAGTGTCGATCACAGTTCGAGTCTGTTGACCCTGCAGAGAGGGACTGGGGAGTTAAACCAAACCACGATTGAGATTGATTTACCAACGAGGGAGTAATTGAACTTGTTATCATTGATTTATTGGCGCTTCCCCCCTCCCTCCTCCCTCGGGAAACCAAAGCAAAGGTTTGATGGGGAAATACAATCAAAGGTTTGATGGGGAAATACAATCAAAGGTTTGATGGGGAAATACACTTAATTTCGCTCCAATGAGAGATGTGGCTTTCACTTTGCAGAACAACACACACAGTGTCAGTCAGTGTCAGTCTTAAGCTGAGGTCTGGTCACTGCTGTTTGCTGACTGGACAGTCTCTGTAACTTTTTAAGCCCTTTTTTTTTCTCTCTCTCTCTGTCTCTGCTTGGTTACATCTCCCTGTGAGGCTTGTCATTTTGTTTCTCTCTTTCTCTCTCTCTCTGTGTGTGTGTGTGTGTGACTCTCTCTCTTTTTTAAGATGGCCCAATGTTCAGTGGGAGAGGAAAACGTGAGGCAGGAGCTGCAGGAAGCCAAGGGGAGACCTTCGGGCCATGTCAGGAGAGGAGGCTATGAGCTGATCAGGAATCCACACCTCAACAAGGTAACCATCTGAGGCCACACTCCCTCCCTCTCCCTCCCTCTCCCTCTCCTCCCTCTCCCTCCCTTCCTCCCTCTCTGGCTCGTATTTTTTTGCGTTGCAATGGAAAGAAACCAGGCTTTTTTGTTTGTTTGTTTGCTGTGTGGTTTTTTTTTGGCAACAATTTTTAAAAAAAAAAAAAAAATTTTTTTCAAAGAAAAAGACATTTCTCGTTCCACCACCAAGAGGGCAAAACTTCAGCGAATTATTTATCTATATTTATATATATATATTTATATTGATATATATCTCCACACGTGCACACGATTTTTTTAAAAAAAAGGTTATTGTAAGGGGGGGGGGGGGGTGGAATGCGTGAATAAAGAGTGTGAGGAACGTAAGTTGATGCAGGAATTAATTGTATTGATGCATTGTGTATCAATAACTAAGTTAAGGCAGGAATAAATTAAATTGCAATCTCAATTAATTCCTGCATTCATTTGCTTTCCTTGCGATCTATTCCTGGTTCTTGGAAGCAGCGACTTAGCAATGACGATGCTAATCATAAATGAAGTTAGTAAATGGTTGTGATGGGGGCAGGAGGTTAGTGAGGAGCAGCTCACAATGTCTGCAGCCACTTTCCTGTATTCCCACTCTCCTCCTCTGCTTTCCTGTGTGTGTGTGTGTATGTGTGTGTGTGTGCAATGGCTCCAAGTTGCTTTCCTGGCTCGGGGCTGGTCTCTCTCTCTGCTCCTTTTTTTGTGTGTGGTTGTTGTTGAAAATATATATTTATTTATCCAATATAATATTGAAGTACAACAGAAATCTCCCCCCCCCCCCCCCCCACCAAAAAACAAACGTATCTTTTATTGCAAACCTTGCCCTTTCTCCCCCATGCAAAAAAAAATCATTTCGTAGTTTACGGTGCACGTTAAGGAATTGCAGAGGAATTTATGGAATGAGGGACCTCCCTTTAACACAGTCATGGGGCAGGTCTCTGCTTCCCAGGACCCTTTCTGAGTCTGATCTGAGGCCTGGTGCTCCAGCCATTTGTAGGAAGGGAAACTGCTGCTGACCCTGTGATAGACACTGAGCACCAACCTCAGGGAGGAGGGGGAACCAGCACTGATCCTTATTTAACCATAAGGAGCTCTATTTATTTTTAAAACTTTGAAGAGTTCTATTGCATATGCCCCAAAAATAGATCCCTTTTTTTAAAAAAAATCTGAAGTGAGTCATTCTTGCCACACTTAATAAATGACACATGTCTGAACTCTGAACATTGCGATTGCCATTGACTTGATGTGTGTAGATAAGTGACCTGCCGCACCCTTTTCTGCAATGATGTGTTTCAAGATTTTAACTATTTTAAGGTCTTGAGTTGGTGCTTCGGAGGCAGTCGTGCACTTTTTATTTAAAAAAAACATTACAGTCAGTGTGCAGCTTTGTTTTGGGTATGTGGTGTTTTACTCCTGTCATAGAGCACCAAAGTGTTCACAAAATATTCCCCCCCCAAAAAAATAATTAAAGTCACTTGTAATTTCACCTATTACAATTCTGGGCCACTGCCCCATGTCAAACTCTTCCCATTGCACCAATGATTAATCTTTTATCCAACTTTCTTCATCCAAACCAATCCTGTGAACTTTTACGCAAACCTGATTCTTCCCTGTCCCTGTGACATACAAGGTGACCCCCCACCCACCAAACCCACACACATTTTAAGGTGCCTTGTTAGAGTGCAAGTTCACTTCTGTGGACGCAATGTTACTGGGTGTGATATGCTTCCCTTGCAGACTAGCCAGCTTCCTGCATAGTTAGCAGTCTGCCATGACCGCTCTCGTGAGTGTTTTAGTGCTAGAAATACTTGTGAAAATGTTCATTGCTGACTGGTCAGATTCCTATGTGCTTGTTCAAGAAGCCAGCCAGCCTGCTGCAGACACCAGAAGTTATGTCACTAACAGCCTGATGAGCTGGAAGAAAGATTAACAGTCATGTTATTTTCAGGGAAGTATTACAATGTCAGTTTGTCATGGAAGTGACCCATGTTAATAGGATGTGTATGTTAATGGTTCACTTGTGTATACAAACAAAGCACTTGCCTCTCAAGCGAGATACCTGGGTTCGATTCCCAGCAGGGTGAAACCTTGGGCTAGTTTCCTTACTCCACATGCCTAATAATAATCTCTCAAGAAAAATAACAATGAATTGGTCACTTCAATCCACGACTGTTTGTGGGATACTGCTGTACGCAATTGGTTGCTGCGTTTTGCCCTCAAATATACAGTCAATTCACTTCACAGTATATTCTGTGAAGCGCTTTGAGACGTCTAGAACACGTGAAAAGCTCAATATCAAATGCAAGGATTATTATAGTTATACTTCCTGAAGTTGAAATGTTTACTCTCCTTAAACAGACTAAATAACTAAACACATTTTATTTTTCCCACACAAACTGTGCTTATTCTACTGTATGTTTGTAAATAAAACCATAAGTGTTGTGATTTAGAAATGAGAAGTGGAGTTTACTATGGTGCAGTACATGAAGGGAAACCTTTGAAATCCATTATTATAGCTTCCATTAAATATCACCCGTTAACCCCTTCAGCACCATGCAAAGTTCATCTGCAGAAATGTTTTAATCCCATTCAGGTTATCATTGACTATTTTACTCTGGTGAGTATGTTCACTTAACAAGAAAATGTACACTTGAAAGTTGATTGACAACGTTAAAGGGTTACAGCAATTGGTCTACCACTCACCAGTTGTCACATTTGCTGAATACAGTTTTACTAATGCTGCTGTCTGCATTCTGACTCTAATTATCAGAGATTTTATTCCCCAGCTGCATTGTTGAAGGAGCCTGCTGCTGCTGGCAAATGGTCCTATAATTGCATCAGCGAGTATTTCAGATCTTAGTTGTACTGCTGCAATGAAAGCTTTCTTTCAATCTGCTGCCAAAGCAAAATTCAACAAAGCTTTAACATTGGATTTTCACCTTTCCACCCATTTTAAATTGATGGAAGAAAATTAAATCATGTGGCATATTTTATAGTTTGCACATTGGGTAATGCACAACAGATTGCTGTAATTCCTTCTGTTCAAAATATTCTGCATACAACATATTTCATTTCAGGCCATTGGTTCAGCCAGCTATAGCTTAAAGTTGCATAATGGAGAATATATTATACAATAAAATCTCTGCAATTAATGTTGAATAGATGACTCGAGTGATGAAGGCACAAGTGGACAAGACCGTGGATGATGCAATACAATTTACACTTGTAGTGCCTTTCATTTCAGAAGAATGTCCCAAGCAGTTGAAGCAGAAATTTGCACTTTATTGGATCACTCGTCATCAATGATGTAGTGCTGTGCAACTTCAAATCTGTGTTTTCCTTAAATCTGTGGAACCCAGTTTCCAAGTTGGTGGGTTAGTCTGTATTAATTCAATGTATCGTGCGCCATTGAATGGATTCTTACCCATCATCCCCTTCCCTACGCAGCAAGGTTAAGCATTCCACGAAAACAATTGCATCTCCAGTATGTTTCAAAGGTGTAGCCTTAAGTATGTGTTGGGTAGATATGTCAAGCAGCTCACAATTTTTCACTAACTTGTTACTGTTTGAACTTGTTGGTTGATAACAAAACCTTTTTGTAGAGCAACTCTTGCCAATTCTATGAAGTGTCAAGTCTGAGATGTTAAGATGACTTGCTAGTGTGCAAATTCTACTCTTATTTGAGACTTTTATTCTTTATGTGGCTTCTATTTATCTCTTGCAGTGTTCTTTGAAGTGTTTAAGCAGATTATTTGTCCCTGCACAAAGACAGTCCGTTCTTTTAGTAATCTCATCGGTGGATTGTGGATGGTCTGAGTAATGTAGAAAGGTGATTTGCTTTTACACTTGAATCATTTGGTCTTTTAATTTTGGTTTCTAATTTTAATGCAGAGCTCATAATTTACAAGGATTATTTCTGTTCATATCTCTGTACCTCTTAATATAGCAGAACATTTTAATAGTCCATCAATCAGATTTTAATGCTTTGTTTTTTAAATTCACAAGTTTCAATTTTGCTTTGTTTATGATAATAATCCTTGCATTTGAAATAGCGCTTTTCACGTCTTTTCGATGTCTCAAAGCGCTTCACAGAATATGCTATAAAGTGAATTGACTGTATATTTGTGGGCGAAACGCGGCAGCCAATTGCGCACAGCAGTGTCCCACAAACAGTCGTGGATTGAAAATGACCAATTTATTATTGTTTTGTTTTGGAGGGATTATTATTAGGCGTGTGAAGTACGGAAACTTACCCAAGGTTTTGCCCTGCCTGGGATTGAACCCAGGTGTCTCGCTTGCAATGCGATTGCTCTAACCACTGAGCTACAGGACTCCACTTACTGTAACATTAGCCTTAGCTAAAAACTAAATCCATAAACTATGGTAAGGGCAAGTGCTATTACAGTTTGGTAGGTATCTCAACTTTAAGGATAAAATATTGTAGTTGCAAAATTCTGTTGTATCTGAATAATTCTAATTTAGCAATTCTTGTTATTAAAACTGCACTAGAAATAACTTTTTGAATACATTAAAGGCACCAAATTCATTTAGGAAGGGGATATGAAAGATTTGCTACTAACATAAAGAGTCTCAGCACAGTTGCCGTAGATATGCCAAATATGGCAGCTCCCATTGGCAGTACTGTACCAAGGAATTGTGAGATTTAAGACTGCATCTGTAACTTCCTGCTGACTTGCCTTTCAACTGCCCATAAGGGAGCAAGCCTGGTACTTTTCGTACATGCTGAGTTTATACGACACAGGTCATTGCAATGTTCCTGAAACTCATGGTGTCAGGAATGGCTCTTGTGTATGCTTTGCCCTGGCTGAGATCCCATATCCAGTGTGTTGGTAAATTACAGCAACACTGCCAAAGGTGTAGGATAACTGAAATAGCTGCATAAATTAATGTTACGTATCACTAATTGTTCAAACTGTGGTTCCATTTTTAAGGTAAAAGAGTTTT